GCGGATAAAGACTCGGATGTTGCTGTTGCTGGAGGCCTCGGGAGACATGATGGCGCTCCTCCAGCGGAGAGGAGACGAGAGGAGAGGGGAAAGACGGATTGGTGTTGCAACGAATCAGCGGGACATTACATGTCTGGCATCAACCATCATCGCGTCTGCCGGCGTGGACTAGAGATGGACAAAGAGTCCTGAGAGGTGCATTGAGCGTCATGGGCTTCCAGGTTGGCGGGAGACGGGAGGTTGAGCAAGCTAGCTCCAGGTGGTGTCGCTGCGAGTCGGACGGGGCTCCCCTTTGGGTCGCGCTGCAGGGGTTGGATCCACGTTCCCCGTTTCCCTTCAGGTACTCGTAGCGTCAAGGTGCTTTAAGGTACGCTCCGGCTGCGGTACCATCGGCCTTACATCAGCACGGGGATCCACTGATGATGTCGCAGCGGGTGGCTTTTTGGCACTTCGGTACGTACCTCGGCACGTCAACGCCGTTGGGTCTCACTTACACCCCCAAGTCTAGCAATCATAGCGACATCGTCAACGGCCTCAATCACTTTCAAATGCTGGCATTTTTGTGTCTAAACTCTACTGTTGATCCAATTAACTCTTTCCCCCCACTTCTGAACCTGATATGTTTCTGTGTTTCCGCAGCTATATTTCCAAGTGCCAACTTCATTAGTATCGGCCGTATCTATATGTGCATAGACAACGACAGCAGAGGCGAACTGGCAACAACGGTAGAACTACATCAGGCTGTCAGGGAGAATGTTCGCTACACACAAAATAGTCAGTCTTGCTAAACTAGTGGAGAGTACCTTACGTAAATAAGGGGTGCCTGCCCAGTAAGGCTTTCCTTCCCCAAATCCACGATTGCAAGCGCGGAAGGTCGGCCGAACGAGGCGGGCAATTACGACTTCCCCCAAGGGCAGCAGTTGCCTCATTTGAGGAATTTGTGGCCCAAAGCACCTGTCGGATTCTCCTTTCTCTGTCTTTCCGCCGACGACGCATCTTTATCCCCTCCAAACACCCATAACCGACGTCCTGCCTTCCTTCTCGCAGTCCACCTCTTTCTTTCGTCTCTATCTCTCATACTTTCCTCCATCATCTCTGCCATCATCAACCTTCTCTATGTTCCCTTCCCATCATTATTCTATCCACCAGCTATTTCTGTTCCTCCTTTCCCCTTCCTCTCCTGTCGCCCGGGGATGATGACTTGATCACCACTTTGTCTACGATTTTGTTCATATTCGACCCTTTCGGCTGGGCGGACCATTTCTCCTCGACTACCAGGGACTACTTCGCAAGATGGCGGTCATCGACACCTTGCCTGCCGTTAAGGTATCTGTTCGTCTCAGAACATCCTTCAGAGACGCAGATGAATACCCCGACCCTTACGGGTACCAGTTGCGCGACCGATACTTCGAGGACTTTGAAAGATGCTCCCGCAACTACATCGAGAGCCAGAATGGAGTTGAGTTTGCCGTTCACATCAATATCATGGACGATATGTCACTGGATCCTTGGATCTATGGAGATTGTGGACTCATGTTCTTCCTCTTCATTGACGGTCAATTCATGGGCAAACGTTTCTGCCACAGCGACGACTTCTTTCACCGTATATGGCACTTCGCCTTTAAGGGAAAGAGACACCCTAACGAAACTCGCTCTGCATTGGTTCAGAGAGATTTCCAGTTCGAATCCATCACCACGAGTATGTGGTCCTTCAAATCATCGTGTTTAGTGTGAGGGCTTTGCTAACACTGTGAATAGATGATGCGGATGCCTCGACTCAGGAGTTCCGTCGCGCTTGTGATCTCGGAACGATCGAAGTGAAGGTCAGGCTGGGCAGGTTCTCTGGAATTCCTCATCGGACGTTCAAACAAGATGCGCCCATTTCGCGCTAGGAGCCGCGGTATGATACGTTTGATATTCCCGAAGAGGCGTTGAAGGGCCGTCCCATCTCACACGGTACCTCGTAAGTTCATTCTCCAACTCCTTTGTGTTCCCTACTAATTACAGTCTTTCTAGCTTTGCTTCACCCTACGAGGCGCCTTTGCGGCCGCCGCGCCGAGAACAGAGAGCAGCATTCGAGCGGATTCGCAGCGGCCCGTTGTTGGCTACGTACACATTCAAATACCGGGATCTGAACGCTCTCAGGATTGAAGAAATCGTTCCAAGAACACCTAGCCCGGAGGCAACGTCTCCTCAGAAGTCGGTTCGGTTCGAAGAGCCCGACTTGCCTAGATTCGAGGAGCTACATCAAGACGAAATCGAGAGGCTTGCGCGTGATCGCTTGAGGCAGCTCAGGGTAAGCGTTTGGTATTGACTAGGAGGCTTTGGCGCTCACGTTACTTTCAGGATCAGAAATTGTGTGGATCCTCCAAGAAGCGCAGCTACGATGACTATTGCGACCTTACCCAAGATTACAGCCCGCCTGCTCGTCCCTACAAGATCATCAAGATGGGAACAGGCCAAGAGGCTATAGATCTCACCGATGATTTCTGAAGCTTTGGAAAGCTTTGGACTGCAGGACTTCTGTCATCTTTGGAGGGTGACCTCTATGGATATTGCAAGAAACTCCTCGACCCGTGGTTCCGGACTTAATACAGGCAGGTTATCCGAGGCCGGCATGGGGAATTTCGAAGTCGATTTGGCATTTAAGAACGTTTCTTTCGTACGATGATGGAAAGGATTTCCTTCATGAGATGGCTTAAGAGTTTATGTGGACGGAAAACCCGTCCGGCGGTCGATTAATGATCAAGAGTCGTTTTAGCAGTAGTTAGATGAATTTGAAGTACTTTCCAATATTGAATATTGATCCCCTAATATGACGATGAAAAGCTAATTTTTCTGAAGTCCAAAAAGTGCGGTTTGCCACCAGCACTTTCCACAACTATCGTAACTTGATGGGTTTACGAGACGACCCAAGCAGGCACCTGCCCATGCGCTCCTACCACGGTGCCATCTTCCCCTTCCAACCCCCGCTGCACACTTTCCTTTCACACTAAGACTAATTCTTCCCGTCATTGACATCGACAACCTTGCAGACACCACAAACACCCCGTCAAGAAATTCGTGTCTCGAGACAGCTTTCGAATCTACAGCAAGACGTTCAATGCATCATGGTCGGCCTCAGTCTGCACCTCGAAGCTGACGTCTCCATTGAAGTAAACGGCAGAGATGCGATAGAGCTTGAGGACACCTTGGTAAATACCGATCATGACGCACCCTACAGCTGTTACCGGTTAATCGAAGTCGAAGAACGGGGCGAATTCTCCGTCAACATCCGTCTCAGTGATACTTTCCGCCGGCTCGTCGACCATGCTGACCGCGGTATCATGATATTGATTCAAATGGACGGATTGGAGGTTCTGCGCCGACTCGTTAGTCAGAACGGCTTCAGCACTGCCAAGACTTCAGTCTCGCTGCCACTCAATTACCAAGGGATTGTGGATTGGAGCGTGGGCGAGACCTCGCGGCTGCGAAAGTTTCAATTCAAAGGCGTTGAAGACGGAGAAGGTCCTACGACCGGCTTGATCCGTGTGGAGTTCTTCCTAGTGAAGCTTCTTGGCCCTCCGGAGAAAGACGAACTGTCGGATTACCTGCCCATGGAGGAGCTCTTCCGTGGTATCAGGTACCATTCGTCCAAATTTGGTGTTTCCGAAAGCTCCAGCTAATTCACAATGCAGCTTGTCCACTGGCGAGAGGTATTACAAGAGGGATGTTGAAACCTATCAGGTCCAACGGTTGAACTAGGAATGCCCCATTGGACGATTCAGCTTCAGATATGGTAAGTCTTTCAAAGTTGGGTCCTAAATTATGCTAACGATGTACTTAGTTACCATACCAGTCCGGGTGAAAGCCGAGAAGGAAAAGGATCTGATGGACTTCGGTGACACGCAAATGCACCCAGAGCGCATGGCAATGCTTGCTACGAAAAGCGAGCAATCCGAAGACGAGGATTTAATGAAATTCTTCTCCTCGCCGGTCCCGAAACCGACTCCGAAACCGCTAGGCCTGCCTCATGACACGAGAATGACCCTCTTCGAAGACGATAGTAACGAGCAGATGCTTGACCAAGCGTATGCTCCTCTCGAACCTCTGTCTAACATACGAAAGAAGGTGGACGTACAGTCGATATATCACGATCTTGAGGACGAGGGTGTCTCGTTTCAGTCTACCGATGTCAGTGACATCGTGACCTCGCGAAAGAGAAGCGCCCACTCGGCGTTTGGGGACGAGTCTCCTCTCCAGCCGAGCAAGATTATGGCTTTGGAATATGGAGAACCTACTGATGATTCCCGCGCCCAGCAACAGGAGCCACGGTTCTATACTCCGGCTGGTCCATTGACTGGCCTCAATGACGTCGATTAAGAACTTGGGGAGTGAGATGTGTTCCATAAGACAAGAAGTCAGCCTGTCTGGGCTCTCAAGAGCGGTTGTAGGAAGAGGGGGGGCGGAACAAATTGCTTTGTAGGTTTAATGCGACACGGCGCGGCATTTTTCAAGTTACTTCATTGGGCTGTTATTCCAGTAGAAGATTCATATCCGGCCGCTATCCTTTTCGACGGAGTAATAGAATAGTGCAGCTTAAGGCGCCAAGAGAAGGTATCGAGCTGATGCAATCTTCCCCCTCCCGGCACTTTCAATATTGCCTTTTGAAATGGTCAATTCGGGCTTGCAACATCTCCCACGATGCCTCATCTTATATCTGCTATAACCTGCCTTTCGTTGATGGTATTTCTCATGCGTATCAGGCAGACCTTGACTCGATGTGGGAGTTGTTGAGGGCCCAGGAGATGAATTGAAAAAAATACGGGTCTGATACAAGGGGTCTGATCCCAGGAGTTATTTGACAAAGCCAGCAGTGCAACGACATTCTGTTCCTTTTCGCCCTCTGTTCTTATAAGCCATGATCACCCATAGCAAACAGCAAATGTGACCCAGTTGCACCCCACAATGAGGAAACGCCCCCCGCTATGTAACAATGTTGCGCCTATCGTATATTGGGTTCACTCATCCGTGAGGTCAATCGCACCATCAGAATCCACCTTGTAGACCTTGCTTGGTCGCATGTCGGGGTGTGGGCTACCTTCTCTCTTGACTTTCTCCTCTCGTTTCACGGTCTAGAGCTTCGTCAGTAACAGACTGGTCCTCTTCAAGGTTAAAACTCACATTAAGATCGTCGAGACGCTCCTGGGCCAGCCGCCTGATCTTTTCCTGGGACAGATCATCGATGGTGAGGTTATCATGCAATGGCGAGAGCCGAGGAGGTACGGAAGTCTCCGGCAAATCGTCACGCTGGATGATGCCTTCGTTTTCGAGAATGGGGCCGGACTTGTACCTGAAAAAATACCGAGCAATGAGCCGATTTCCGTCTGGATACTTGGTAACAAAACTTTCAGGCGGTTCGACGTCTTTTCCCTCGGTAAAACTGCGCGTTGTGAGTAAGGAGGAGTCGAAAACTGTGCTGAGAAGGGGTCATACGAGGTACCATGTGTCACGGTGCTCTTGATAAGAGCCTTTTTTTTGGCCAGCTCCGATTAGAAATTGACGCTTTGTGCTCGAAACTGAGATGGTCCTAGATAAACCATGCGACACACAACAACTTCGATAACCCCTAGATGCTTGGCGGCTTCCATATCTTCCTTGAGCTTGTCCTTGCGGTTCTCAACTGCGTTACTGATGTGAGCCAAATTCCATGGATGCAAGATGAAAAGAAATAAAACAGGGGAGCAATTGCCTCTGGTGATTTTTGAGAACTTGAAGTTCTTCATTGTTATCTTCCCAGGTCTAACTGAAGGAACAGCCACTCCAGTTATACGTCCGTGGATAGACCCATTTCGCAGATGTTTCTCCATCGCAGCTTTTGAACCCATGCGCTTGCCATCGATGTAGCAGGCCACTGCCAGACCCTTGTTGCCACCATACCAACCCAAACTGTTATCGATACGGTAGTGTACGAAGAATTCCGCATCGTCTTCGCTTTGGATGATCTTTGCGACGGAGTGTTGTGCAGTGCCACCAACTGACGGTGTGATTGGAGGATCTGGATCGTCATATTCGACACAATCGCTATCCGAGCCAGTGATGCGGACAGCGACCCTGATCTGGGGAAGATCCTCGATGACAACCATCGCGAGTGCTGAGTGGCAGGAGGAAGTCGCCTGGAGAATCGCTGGTCGAGACCTACACTGTGAAAAGCCGGAATGAAGGATGACCAAGGCCCAGAATAGATTGACTGCACGGCAGGTTGCAGAAATCGGAAATGAGAAAATGACGCGCGAAATTGATGCAGTAGAAGAGAGGTAACGTGGAAGGTGCCAAGTCAAATTTTCCAAAGGGAAAGAGCGGCCTGGCTCCTGTCGTTTGCATTTGCCCTTGCCGAAACCCCTGTCTGACGAGCGACAGCTAGAAACTTCCCACCTGAGCAAGAACATAAAAGAAGATATCAGGTAAATGCTCCTCCTCCCTGTAAAGCTTCAGCACTTTGAGTCAGGCAAGTCACCATTGCAATAAGTTTGGTAACCTGCCCTTTGTGCAAGATGTTGCAACGTTTCGACGAACGAGTGAAAGATTGGTTGCAACCCAGGACTGTAGTTCAGAAGCAAGATTAGTAGAGTGTTTCTGCAGGCATCCCTTACAATGAGTTGTTCCTCACCGAATTGGAGACCGACTTGCGGGCCAACACATCTCGCCACGTTTACATGTCTCCTTTCACAAGTTCGTTTTCTGTTCACGAAGTTGCTTAACCCCCCGCAATGCCGAATGTTGGAGACACTGTGATATGTATATATATATGTATATATTCATTATATTAAGAAAGATCATACGTAACAAATTCTGCTTTCAAGACTTGCAGTTCCTTGTTGTATTAATGAGTGCTACATACCTATGCAAGTACCCAGCGCTACTCAAGATGGATTTCGCGAAGACAGTCTGTTTTCCTGACCATAGATGTCCAAATATTAGAAAGATTGCGGGTTCGGCTCTCAAAACTAAGAGACTGGCAATAAAGGCTCTCAAGGTTTGGCGGACGATGGCGAACCAGCATGTACTAGGACGCAGTCGATGCAATTGGTTCAGACCCACTCTCTAGGCAAATGAACCAATCAGAGGGCAGGCGCATCCCAACGCCTGCTCGGATTGCCCTTTTCAGCTGCCTCATCTTCCACTTCACACTGTGAACTACCTCAACGTCCTTTCCACACGTGTTTGTGCCATCAACCTCAGCCTTACACATCAAACTGCATCTCCTTGCCCGTCGGAATTCACAGTAAAGCTGGTTTTCTAAGTTTCGGAGCCTTTTCCATTCTTCCATCAGCAACGATGGCGGTCCTCAACGAGCTCCCCGGCATCAAGGTTACCATCGAGGTCAACGACGTCGAGGCCCAAGAGTACAACGACGAGGACGGCCCCGCCGAGGACAAGAACAATAGACGTGCGACCAATCGCTGCTTCAAGTACATTGAGTCCAAAGATGACTCGCCATTCTCAGTTGTCTACCACCTCGATAACACCTACGGACAGCTGTCCATGTACGATGCCCTTGGAATCTACTTGTCCATCGACAGCGCCCAGATGGATAGTTGCCTCTGGGAATCCGCTCGGTACCCCCCCGGTTCACCGGTATGGACGCACCGTGTAGCAGGCACGCGCCATACGTCGGCACACTCCGGTATGGATTCTATGAGGAAATTCAAGTTTTCCAAAATTACGACTAGTACGTTGTCTCGCTGCGCCAATGCGCGCGCAAAGCTAATGGTATGCGCAGTTGATGACGCGGGGAAGGATCGCGTGGCAAGAGACATTGAGGACTTCAAGCGCATAGGTCTGATCAAGGTTTACGTCTACGGCTGCTCCGTCAGGGAGAATCGGCCCACTCACAGATCGCATCGGCCGACCCGCGATAGGGACTTTGAGGTTGCCGAGAAGGCGTTGAAGGGTCGGGCTGTGTCGCATGGGACTGCGTGAGTTGTCCGCGAGCTCTATTTCGTCTTTTGGATGATTGATGCTGATGAGTTACAGATACTCTGATGGCGGACTCATTCCACAGACAAGCACCGTCTCAGTTGATTTCTATCCCCGAGAACCGTTGGCGGCGTTTTCTTTCAAATACCGTAGTCGAGGCTAGTTGTCTGTTGTTGTGGTTGGGATGTCGCAAAACTAACCTTGGAACAGATGCTCTCCACAAGGAGCTGGTGATCCCCCGGTCTCCCACTCCTGAAGGAATCAACGCCCTGTCCGAAGCGGAGATCCGCCGGTTGGCTGCAGAGCGACTCGAGGACATTAACGTTTGTTTTCTCAAGCAACCCATCGAGCCTGACTAACATACATGAAGCATCATCGTTGGTCACCAACCCTTAAGCGGGAGCCCAGGGCCGTCATCAAACGCGAGTTTGCCGAGTATTACGATCTGGCCGAAGAGCCAACTAAGCGCGAGTGGAAGAAAGTCAGAATCGACGACAAGCACGAGGCGATCGATCTCACGGATGACTAGAAGCCACCACCGGAGCTCGATGAATTGGGCTCTGACAGCGAGTCCGACGGGTCGAGCTCTGACAGTGACTCTGACGATGAATCGTCTCTTCGGAGCAACACTGTTGCATAGTTTTCTCTCCTGACTTTGACACCCGCCTTGACAACGGGGACTTGCGGCGCTGTTTTCTTTTCTTTTTTTCGTTTTGCTTTTTCGAGGGCGACTTCGTTGCATGACTTCTTAGGCGCAAGATTTGACATATCTTCCGTGGGCGGAGGCGCTAGTACTCATTACTTCACGGTTACGATGTTGACGATGGTGTTTTCCTCCTTTCATCAGGAGTTTAGTGGTGGAACCAGATATACCCTCTCCTAGCTTTGTCTTTCACTTTTCAATGTCTACGTATCCTCTACAGGGTAGGAAATGCCCTATCATACCAGACGCCCAAGACAAAGAATTACTTTTCATAGTCTAGCCCTTCATTTCCATGCGCGTACTTTTGTATCCATACTCCCATTTCTCTTCTTGAAACTTGGAATCTTTAAACTTTTCGGATTGTTCGATGAGCTCCTCGTCTGATGGCGCCGACCACTAGTCAGCATCGTCGTTCTCGATGCCCATCGCCGTGTCCCCGTCAGGGTCCTTTTGTGCCGCCATCTTTTGCATCTTTTCCGCCTTGAGAATGCGCACCGCCGCCTCTGCGGCCTTGACCTTGACCTCGTCCTTGGTAACACCCTTATCGACATCGACGACGCAGCGGGTGCCGACCATGACCTTGCAAGAGAGTTCTCGCTCCCTGTTCTCCAGCTCCTTGTAGCTCAGAACGTACTGCACGCTCTCCTTATCGGCGAGATGGCCCAGCTCCTCCTTGGGATGAAGACAATGCACACCGTCGCGGAGGATGCGGTCCAGACAGCCCAGGATGCCGAACCGCTCGACGACCTGCTCGCAGACCTTCATGTCCCCGGCGTCGACCCACACCGCGCCGAGGAGCGACTCGAAAATGTCCGAGTAGAACTTCCTCAGCTGCAGGCGCGCGAGCAGGGCCCAGGGGTACGTCGCGCCGTGCTCCATGGCGTCGATGATGGGCCCGCGCATCTCGGCGTGCCGTTTCTCAATGTTGATCTGCTCGAGGCCGACGGCCGAGGACTGGTGGCGCATGAACTTCCATAGCGGCAGGGTGAAGCGAGAGCGCTTGAGTTCGGGCACCTTGTCACGGATCTCGCCGATGACGACCTCTTCCTGCTCGACGGACTGCTCGAGGGATAGGAAGCCGAGGAAGTCGCCGTTGACGACTGCCGTTTTGAGGAGATGCATCGACTGGTGCGAGAGGTGCGGCCGGATGGAGAAGAGGCGGTTGACGATGATGTAGTCGAGGACGGCGTCCCCGATGAACTCCAGGCGCTCGAGGCAGCCGAGGGGGTTGCCAAAGTTGCTCGACGCGTGCGTCATGGACTGGATCAGGAGAGACTTCTTGTCGAACTCGTAGCCGATCAGCTCTTCCAGCGGCTTCAAGGTTGAGGGCAGCTCGACATTGTCGGGAGCGATGTCGTACAGCAGCTGTCTGCAGTCATCTATTCTTCTCCACTTGATCTGTTGCAGGAATATGGACATGCAGTCCAGTGCCTTGCTTAGGCCACCGTCTTCACCGCCGTCAATCATCGAAGCCCCAATAAGTGCCTCGACAATATCGGCGAGAGTCTTGGTGGAAATCCTTCTAGTAGACGTATCTTCACCGCGCTTGAGCACGTCTTCAACGTAGATCGGGCGCCATTTTTGTCCCGTGAACGGTTTCGTCAGAATAAAACGGTCCAGGCCGTGCTTGATTGCAGCCTTGCAGAGCGTTGAGTTGGCGACGATGCTGTCCTTCTTAAAGGAGAGTAGCCGTTCTGGCCAGTAGGGATCTGCGATATGTCAGCCTTCTGCCGGGGGTTTGCTTGAATGTCCACATACTCAAAGCGGCCACGTTGATTGTAGCAGAGAATTTCAGGATCGAGTCGCCGAGAAACTCGAGCCTCTCATAGTTGGTAGGCTCAGCAGCACTTCCAGCACTGATGGCTGTGTGAACCAGGGACCAGTCGTCGATGGCGAGCGGTCTCAACAGTGTCGTTGAGAGTTCCTTGGCCACAAGGCATGTTTCGATCCGATGCAGAATGGATGGGATAAGCACTCCGAAATATGCGTACTTCGCCGGTATAGCATCAACCTTTGCCATCGGAACCGGGTATACACGCGAGTAAGGCTTTGGGTTACTCGGGGCTTGGGAGGGGTCGCTCTGTGGCCGGTGAAGAAAGTCTGATCGTCGAGACCACTTCGTGAGGGTGAGATATGGAACGTCTTGAGGGGCTTTTTCGAACCCATAGAATGTCTTTGACACCAGATCGGGCGTCGGCTTATTGTCGATTATGCCTTCGTAAAGGTATGGGCATCCAGTGTCGTCTCGAACGAAGCAGGTGAGGTCGTGTGCAGACATCTCCCCTGGCACAAAATGCTTCGTTCCAATACTATCCAGAGAAAGTTCGGCACCAACTGCGCTAAACCTGATTACCTGCTGAAGCGGACTCGACAACCAGCGATGGCCGTAAGGCAAGGCGAGAAGTACAGCAGTATGGTCTCCGTTCTCAGGCTCCTCGATGGGAAGCTGATCACCAAATTCGA